AATATTTATGGAGTAAAGAAGCCTTTCTATTTACTTCAATGTAAGTTATGTAGTCTACACGTTATAATTTTTATTGGGTTAAATGTACTGTTGAATATACAAATGTTAAAATTGAAATTCAATAATAAATAAAAAAATATTAACTTTCAATAAAATTCAACCGATGCATAAAAAACATAAATATAATTCTTTTTTATATAAATAAAATATACATAATATACATAGTGATTTATTCAGTATAGTACCCACCATTTTTTCGTATTATGTTTTTTCTTAAAAAAATACAGATTAAAATTTGATTTATTTTTATAAACCGTAGTAAATATCAAATTAATTGTAAAAGAAAATTATTTCTAAAGGTTGAGTTGGGTAACTTTTGAAAGTTAAATGGGAACTTATTATTTTTAAAAAAGCAGTTTATGTAAATGGGCAACATTTTTTTTTAGATGTATAAGAATTAATCCTAAGACGGCGGAGAACAAGTAATAAAAATCATATTGAACGTTTATATCATTTTATATTTATGTTTTATATTTTATCTTATATATAATCTCTTTAATTATATATGTTGTTATTTGAAAAAATAAAGTGGACATCCTTATAAAGTATAAAGGATGAATATGAATAATATGAATATTACTTATATTTTTATATTATATAAATAGTATTTAATTAATGAATCATTCTGTGTACTTAATTTATAGATATTCAATTAATGGTTTTAACAAAATAATACGGTATATAACTATTATAGTAAAAACAACTGCATAAGCTTCAATAGTTTTAATTAAACCAAACATAAACTGACTGACAATGATACTCAATTAGTTTTAAAACTAACTAAATAAAAAATTGAACCCTCGTTACTTTTACTAGCCCAGTCACGACTCTTTAAAATGATACGTGTGTAGAATACTTTAAAGTAACGAGTTCGCTATTTGTGATATTTCATTATTTGTGAATAAAAAAATCCAGTGTGAAAATGCTTGAGAATTTTAAACGTTCAATATAGATTTTACTATTTCATTACATTAAACTTAAACGTCACACGCGATATTAAAATTAATTTAATATTTTTCTTAAACTGTACAATTACTTTAAATTTAATTATAAGCAAATCAAATATGACCAGCAATATTAGAATTGGTTTATTTTACAATTATACAATATAAATCAATGTACCCGTTTTTGTTGAATTTAATGAGAAAATTTTTTTAGCTATTTTTATTGTACTTCAAAATATGAAATTTAATGTTGGCTATCAGTGGCGGCTCGTGGCTTGGACGACGGGACCATCACACCCCTACTAAAATTAATTAAAAGGAGAAAATTAATTGTATGTTCTACATTTTTATTAAAAATGCAAATTTTTAAATAGTAAAATAGTTATAATACATTTGTCGTGTGCGTACATTAGAATTGTTTTCCTCATTATATTCGGTTACGCATACACACACGAGTAGCGTTTGGACGACCGGCAGTGTCGTTCATATGGTAAAATATTTGCATATTACTATATTAGGTAATTTATTTTTAGAATTAACTGCTTGTCGTTATCGGTTGTTATAATAGTATAATCGCTATTATTATTATTTTCATTTCTATTTTCTACTGCGACCTTTAAAATAATAATATGCGTTTTATTTTATTATATTTAATTTGACAATTTTTTATACCTATGACTAGCAGTATTATATTTAAAGTTGTAACCCACCACCAGCACCCACGAACCTCTACTGCTAGCTATTAATAATACATTTTTATTAATATGTATATTATTATTATTACTTTGAAGATACTTAATATTTCATAAAGTCATTAAAAAAGTAAGGAAATATTAGAAAATTATTTTGTTTCAAGACAAATATAAGATTTATTAAAAAAAAAAAATAATTTTATAAATAATCCCTAGTCTATGTTTAATAACATCAAACATATACGTTTTATTGTAAGGAAATACATTAATGTATGCATATTATTTATGAATAAATTTATTTTGTAAGCTCTATGTACTTATATATTCCCTTTTATACTAAAAGCCTCAACAGGGCTTTTAGTATTTTTGTTACTATTAAATGTTTACCATGGAAAACAGATCAGATATACTTGTAGTTATTTTTCAATTTGCATTTTATGGTTTTGAGTACTTAATGAATACCTCAAAATTTAGTAACGATATTTTCGTGAAAACTGGAATCAACTATTCGAAATTATTTTCATGTATTATACTGTCGTAATATGACTAATGCTTTGCATAATAATAAGCCAAGGATTTTAGAATAAATTACTTTAAATAAATAGATTTTGATAATATTAACATTTAATTACTATTTTTATCTAATAATGTACAACAACTGTTGAAATAATATTATTAAAATTACACGTTATTAATGCAACTCAAAATATTAGTATATAATAGTGTTGCACGATACAATTAGGTTTCAATTTAATCTTTATAAAGTAACGATTTTCAACGAGTATGTCTGTACATATTCAAATTATTATAGTTCATAGTGTACAACTTCATTAGACAAAGGTTTGATTTAGTTCCAAGCGGGAACGGATCAATTAATTTACTATTAGATAGACCTTCTTTCGCTTATATATTTATATTAATTTTGAGTAATAAGTACGAACATTTGTACATGACGCCCTCTCAAAAGAAATTTCGATTTCTGTCCTCGATAACTTGAGTGACAGAAAGTTTTAATTTTTTCGGTATACTTAAGAACACAGAATGTTCGTCACTATAACTCTCAAATCATTCGTTAAGAGCTTACAGTAAATAGCTTACTAGTTTTAGACAAACATTTTATATGAGGTGATTTATTTTTTCATTAGGTAAAAAATAGTTCACTGAATAAACATATAATTACAGATAAAAATATGAACATTGTAATATCCATATAGACTTATAAAAAAAAGGCTTGTTAAGTTATATTTTGGTACTTATCAGTTTATGGTTCTCCACAAAATAATTAATAATCATTATTAACGGTCCATCAGTTAACAGTTTTTACCCAATGCTGAGAATTGTTTTACGAATAAAGGTACATCTGATTGTCAACCTCATTGCTGCGGTAAAACAGTTGAAAACGCTCAATTATAATTTCATCAAGATTATTCAACAATACGTGTGTGGCCGAAGGGTCACGTGGGATAAAATATGCCGACGTGGTTACTGTGTGTACTGTTGACTAACCGCCATTTAATATTATAATACCCGTAGCGGTCATTTATCGTTTGCCAACTTCTATTCCAATAAATTTCATGCGCACACCTCACATTGCCAATACACAAGTATCAGTGTTGTATTACAAGTTATGTCCGCATAATCATTTTAATTCGTTGGTCTTTGAATTGCTACTACAACATTATGCAATATAATTGATTATTGTTTTATAAAATTAATTACGTTGGCTAATTTAATTCAGTCAGAAACGTTTCAAGCCTATGTACGTAGATACAAAAGTTTAAGTCCTTTGCGCTAGGCTATGAAGATTTTATCATCTTCTCTAAGACAAGCACAGTTTTTAAGAGAAGATGTTATGTAGAATAATAAAATAAATATAATGTTTTCATTTTCATTTACTAAAACAAATATTTGTCTGACTAATTTACAAGCAATAGCTCTAAGCATCAAATTTTAAGAGGTTAATCTAGGGTGTAATTATAATGATGAGTTTTTTATAATCAATCAACTATTTTAATAAAAAATTGTTAAAAATAAACATGATTTTTTGTTCACTAATAAAATTTAATCAAAATATAAAAATATTAAATAGTAGTATGATATGTATCTTAGGTGAAGTTGATATAATTAACTTAATAGTTTTCAGAAAAATCATTTTTGAAACAATTGACTATCAGATAATAATTTTTTATTTAATTCAATACAAAATTTAGTGCGTTATCAAAGATAACCCATGATTAGTATAATTTTGATAAATTCGTTTTAAAACAATTACTAGTACGATAAAATTAAAAAACAAATTTTTTTCTTTATATTTATTAAGAGTAACATATATATATATGAAACAAATATTATAAAAAAAATTGTAATAATGTAGCAAAATGCAAAATAAATGACAAATACACGAAAAAACAATGAAAAATTATCAAAGTTACACCATTTTACGGTAAAGTTTAAATGAACAATAATAAATGTTTCCCTCTACATTTATTATAAAACGCGTAAACAAAATAAGATAGTAAAATATTCTTTAAGCACACGGAATAGGTAAACCTTTCATGCTTTTATCGGTGAAAAATTGTTTCCGGGTAAATAAAATGCCATCGGAGAAACGTCCCCCAAATATTCAACTCGATTATAATAAAGAAAAACAAGTATACACAAAATACATACACAAAATACATACACAATTGATCAAATGGGTAAAATTATGCAGGAAAATCAATAAAACCGGCGAATGGGGCAACCACTTGGTGTATTACTATGCGCATTTCTAAACGTAAAATGTTATCGTTGTTTTTTCATCCAAACAGACCGACATTGTACTTACTTTTCTCTTGGGATACGTAAAGAAATATATGTAGTGTCAATACACCTGTATTTAGGCAGAATTTATGAGCACTCGGGGACAAATAAAAACCCATCCAAAATTATTATACGGCCAAACGTCAGCATTTCCAGATTAAGTCTCACAATTACTACTTTTAACAATAAACGAAGTACAAATTACATTTAATTTTATGTATCAATAATCAATATCATGAACTGTATGCGATGATTATGAAACAAATAATAAATTATAATTTTTAAGCAAAATAATTAAATCAATCAGGTCATTAATTTTTATTTATTTAAAATTAATTATTTATTGTAAAATATTGTTTTAATTTATGTTGATAAATTATAATTTCATCACCAACACCATATCTATAACTTATTAAATTAACAACGTGTTTTGCATTTTATAAAATACATTGTTGAATTAATAATTTTAATTTTCTAAAATAAATAATATTGAAAATTTTAGGTTGGGGAGATTGGAGTGATTGGTCAGCATGCAATGTATCTTGTGACACAGGTTTACAATACAGACATAGGAAATGTATAAAATGTAGCCAGGGACATAACAAAGAAATGAGAAAATGTAATGATTTTCCTTGTAATGGTAAGTAATTTATAATAATTTCTATTTTCAATAAATTATTATTTTAAATATATTTTATTGGCTAGGTGTTATGGAACTAGTGGCACCAAGTGATAATATGCGGACAATTGAAGGTAAACTTAAAAATCTCCAAAAAGGGTTTACTTTACCCAATCATAAAAAGTTTCCAAACAAGTTTTCCATACTTGTCAGTCTCAGAATTTTACCAAAAGTAAGTTAAAATAAATACTTACGTATTGACATAGATTTCAATACAATAAAATAACTTGTTGCTCACTACAATTTTTCATATCGTATTGTGAGTGCAAAAATTATATTGCCTCTTTAATGTTTTGACCTCTCATAAGAGTTATATTGCATGTTATTTATAGCATTTAAAATAAGTTCAAACCAAATTATATGCAAATTGCTAACATATTTAGAAAAAGAAAAATATGCTTTATTGAAGTAATCAAAATGTAAAATTTCTCTACGCTATAATGCGATATGTGTTTGACTTTTCATAATCTCAGTAGAATTTCATAATTTATTTACATTGTTACTTAATTATTTAAATACAATATCACTTTTAATTAATATGCCTATTATTAAAATTTTATTAATAAAATATTTGTTTAATAGGAATAAAATTGTTAACATAAAATTTATAGTTTATAAAAGATCTGTATGAAATAATTTGACTAAACTAAAATTATACTTTTTGACATATTAATATGACAAAACGTATTAATAATAAACAAATGATTTCATTAATTTTCAATTGTCAAAAGAGTTTCGCAATGAAATATAAATAAAATATTTATCCAAACAAGAAACTGAAAAAACAAAAATAATCTTAATGAAACAAAAAATGTGTGGCCCATGGGGGGATCGAACCCACGACCTTCGCGTTATTAGCACGACGCTCTAACCAACTGAGCTAATGGGCCAGATGTCGAAACCAGCGAATTGACTGCCTTTTAAATTTTATACAGTAAAATTATATTTCAACTTTAATATAATTATATTATGAAAATACTTCAGTTGTTTAATTAATATACAAAAGTAAAACAATTCCCAAAGAGAAAATTAAAAAAATATATTTATAAAAACATTTTTTAAAAAATGCTATCAGGGATTTTTATTCAATGAAAAAATTAAGCAAAAAATTCATCTTTAAATACAACATTCATATATAATGCATGCATTAACTAAATCTTATCTTTGCTCGGATTGAATTTGTAAAAAAATTACTGACATTTCTAATCTTAAGATTAATAATCTCGGTAACCATATCCGTGGTTAATCAATATTTATCGACATTTCAATATTTCAAAATGCGTTGTTAAAATTTCAACTATTATGTGTATAATAGATCGAAGAGCACATAAATATATGTACTTTTATCAACAAAATTAACACTGTTAGACCTTTTTGAATTTGATTTGGGTATATGATAAATAATTATAGTGAAACATATTTTGGTTGCATTACAAGTTCCTCTTTTTTGTAAATGCGTACAAAATGTCCTAAATTTTTGTATATTGTATTAAAAATTACATATCTAATAACGTTGTTTGTTTTGCTTATAGGTAGATTTTGGGACCGTGTTACATTTAACTTCAACATCAAAATCGATCAGATCTATTGTACTTGAAATCAGTGGGCCAGATCTATTGCGTGTATCATTTAACACACCACAGTCAAATAGGTCTGTTTTAATTGCGTCTGTCTTAGCTGACGGTATTACTCATCAACTAGGTTTAGGGTACGTATCAAAATTAATCTAATTACAGTTTATTAATATAAAAAGAAAATGAAATCCATCCACTCTATTCCTGGTGACCCCAGAAGGCGCCTAAAGCGAATGTGGTATCGTGACCTATTGGTTGACTATCCATGATTTCACAAACCATGAAGTACCAGCACTGGTTAGCCTATTCTATACACTTGATAGAAGATACCAACTAGTAGCCTCTTCTAACAGGTTTACTGTCTATATATTATTTTATATATTTGTTTAACATAAACCTCATTTGTACTTAATGTAATTAAAATTATTAAAGATTGTACGATTAAAAAAAAAAAAGGAAAGTGATTTAATTTATTTAATTTTTTTATTTTACACAAAGTAAAGGTATTTCATGGTCGATTTAAGATATTTCACCGCTTCGAGAAAAATCATAGATTAATATTATTATATTTTTTTATAACCTTTATTTACTTATCGTTTAATATTTTGAATGATTTTGCCTATCAGTAGTATGGGTATAACGCGGTTATAAGCAAAAAGATTATGTTTTAATAAACAATCACATTTTATAATTTGTACAATTAAGTACAATACGGAAATTTAAATTTATTAAAATATCTAAATAGTCATGAATCATTTCAATTATTATTTCATCGAAAACGCATAATTGATAATCATTAATACTACTATAATCTAACCATTAATAGTTAATTATAGCAATGAAAATAATGAAAAAATTTTGATTATTTATTACGGTGACAATAAGTTGCAAACAATTTTTACACATTTGAGTATTTTCAATAAAAATAGTAAACATGAAATTTGGGGGGTAATATAGAATTACATAAATTGTTCACCTATATTTATAATATTAATATAACATTTTCACTATTAGACATTTTTTATCGAACAAGACCATTTTAGTTATGACTAACAATATTAATTTGTGTTCCAGGTTTCAAGGTGATGAGGTTATTGCTTATTTGGATTGCCGATGGGTTACTACTGAAATATTAATGCCAAATTCATTCGCACCTTCTGAAGAATATGACACTAATATTTTTGAAGAATCACTGACGGTATTTGAATTACATTAATATATAAAACATTCATATAATTTAATCAACGACTGTTGAAAAATTAGGGAACTTGGTTTACGGTGAACATAAATTTATAAAATATTTAATATACATGATAGGATTTGTAGGGTTGAGAGTGTTGGGCGTTTGACGACGTTTAGCTGAGAATGAGTGTAACAGAGATGAGAATGTTTAGATGGATGAGTGGAGTGACGAGAAAATATCAGATATTGAACGAATATGTAAGAGAAAGTAGCATCGATTGTAGATAAGATGAGAGATAATAGGTTTGTTGGTCTTAATATGAAAAGAGAAAAATTGGAAGATATGAGAACGGTTATAGAAATGAATATTAAAGGAAGAAAAAAACGGTGGTTGGATGTAATTGGGGGTAATATAAGAGCTAGTGATATGATTCCAAGTACTTGGGATAAAAGCGAGGGAGAAGAAGATATGGTAGAAATAATATCAATCAAAATTATCAAAACTATAACTATTGATTGTGTTTCAATCAATGCTCGTAATCCAATTCTAGTAAATTTTGTTAAAATTGTAATATTTTATAATTTTATTGGATATTCAGAAAATATTACTAATGATACGAAGAACAATTTAAAAAAAAAAAAAAGTGATTACGACCAACAAACATTTACTAGACATTTGAGTTACTTATTTGAGAGACGATGTAAATCTCAAAGTTTTAAAAAATAAATTGTCAAGTACAAATTATTTCTTACGATTAGTTTCAAAGCAGATCTAAAATATTTTGCCACCTAAGGCAAAATGTTAGATGCTTTCTTTTCATATTTTTAATAAACTTTTTTGTCTATCATAGACTATAAAGAAAACTAACCGAATATGTAAAAACGCCATCCCAGAAAATTTGACGGTTAAAAAAAGTTTTTATTGTCTAACAAAATCATATATTTTCACTTTTATTCTCTTTCCATTGGATGTAGAATATAAAATTAAACATCTAGTTAAAACATAAGTAACGTTTATAAAATTTTAATTTTGTATAATTTTTTTTTTAATTTAAATTGAATATTTTTATTGTTTTGTTATATAAAATAAAAGTTTTTTATGAAGAGTTAAAAAATTATTTTTTATATAATTGTTTATTTCATTAGACGTTTTATCTATGGTTATTTTTCCATTGTCCAGTTTATCGGAGAATAATTTTTTTGGTATCCAAAATTAAACATAAATATGTTTTGAATTCTTTATTACCAATGTAGGACTTCTTTATAGTAAACAATTTCATTAGTATTCTATTAAATGGTTAATAACAATTCTAGTGATTAATTATTAAAGAGCGTTCCATTAAAATTATTAACTAAGTTATAATATTTAATTAAAATTAAAAATATATAAAAATACTAATTTAAAACAAAAAAATATTTAATTAAAAAAATTCTAAAAACTCGTGTATACAAAACAATATTATCATCATTAGCTCTTAACACATATATGTGTTAATGTATACTTGAGGTTTAGTATTTTTTGTAATTTTTTAAACTAAATATTCTTTTAATTTTAAATTAATATTTTAAATGCATTTTTAATTTTAATTAATATTAGCCACAATGATCAATTCTTATTACATAATGTTTGGTTTTCCATATCAGTTATTGTTTCAAATCGTAAAATATAGTATATTTTCTTTATTGTAAATCTCAAATACTTGGGAATTTAAATAAAAAATAATTCATAGATACAATTTTAGTAATAAAAATACTACCCAAGTAAAATAAGTTTTTAAATCTTATTTATAAGTCTTAAATGATAAAATTAAAATATTGGTGGTGCATAAATATTTAACACAATGGGTTAAAAAAAATATTTTTAATAGTCTATTCTTAAGATATTACAAATATTTATTAAGTAACGAATTAATAAAATAACTTATACTTCGTTTCTTCTATGATGAACTTTTATAAAAATTCAAGTTCTTGGTAAAAAATCATTTACAAAAATAATTTGGTTTAAACAGGTCAAAAAAATATACTTTTTCTATAGCTAAAATTATTGCGCTGATTACAAATCTACGTTTAGATTTTTTCTTTCTCCTTTAATCTGAGATTATTACTAATTAGTAAAAAAAAAAGAATATTTACATATAAAAAAAAAATACCCAAAAAAATCTTAATTACAATGAAAATTAATAACACATCATAAGAAAAAATTATAGGTGAAACTAAGGCCGGAATATTTTTTAATATTGGTATATTATAGAAAGTAACTATAGGAATATAGTTCTGAATATTTCAAATGTAGCATCTATTTAAACACCAAAAGTATTGTAGAAATAATTAGTATTACTTTTATTGAAATGATTTATTTCTATATTAATACAAGACATATTAATTTACATAAATTTTATATATTATAAATAAAAAATACTTAAGTTATTTATATTAAAAACAATTTTTTGATTCGTTCATTTTTCAAAAAGTTCTAACAGTTTTAAGAAAAAAGTTTTATAAATGTTAAAATTTATCGATTTTAAAATTCTCTTTTTTTTTTTGGACTTTCACCATTTACGGGAAACGAGGGAAAATTTTTCAAATTTTGATGATAATTTCTTCAAATAGATACGATTTGTGATCTTTTGACGTATCGTTGAAAGAAATCGGCCCAGTGAGAGCTGAGAAAAATTAGTACAGACACAAAAAAAATATATAAACACATTTTGGTAAAATTAATACCTTCTCAGCTTAACATCAAATTTGAAATTTAATTAAAATACTATAATAATAATAATATTCATTCAATATTATAGGTGGATCTCATACAACTACTTATTGTACCAGACGAAACTGCTGTTTCAGATCAATGTACAATTTTTCGGATTGCAGAGCTAGACACAGAACTTATCAAACCAAAAATAAGGTTTGTATTAAAATGTAATACAGTTGCATACTGTAGAATAATAATTTTAAAATATGAAATCTTTTTTGTCGTATACAATTTTTCAATCAAATTTTGATTTAAGTTTACATAATCATCATAAGATGCACATTATGAAAGAACCTTTTTATTCTGTTTAAATGAAATATTTTATTATTTAAAACCTTTTAAATTTAAGCAAATGTATAGCTTAGTGTCAGTAATACCAACATATATAATATATGTAATTAAATTAGTAATTGCCATTAAAAAAAAAAAAATCAATACCATAATTTATGTTATTCCTCGATTTATGATATAATTTTATAAATTAATCAATATTAATAGATATTTATCTGTATTATAACAATTAATACCAAATATAAATTATAAAATTAGTTACATAAATAATAATAATAATAATAATAATATCAAATGATGATATAATATCATAACGTGGTAATACAATAATTTAGTCGAAAATCTTTTTCATTCCAAAAAAATAAAACATTGTCTACATAGAATTTTTTTATTCTTATGTATTTTTCAAAGTGAAATAGTTCCAATTAGATTTTCTAATTTTATCTTTTTTGAAGCATTTAGAACGTTTCCACTCTCTGTAACTTTCCAAGTAATTAATACGATTTAAAAAAATTTCAATATAATTTTGAAGCATAAAAAACAACTGATGTATTGAAAACCACATTTTTAAAAAATATCGCGTTAGAATTTTTCATTCTCAAGTGACATATTTACTATTCTGAATTACCATCAGTTCTCAATTTTCACTGGTAGAAATATATTTAAAGTATAAATGAAATGAGTAAAAGTTAACGAAATTATGTATAATCCAATTTTATTATAAGTAAGAAATATAGACGATTCCTTAATAATTCTAAGTGTAAAAATTTAGAGCTTCAATTTTGAATTCAAATAAAACATCATAAATGTATTATTACAGTAACTCGATAGCACACCTTGTGAGCATTTTACTTTCTTAATAGATGTTACATTGTCAACTAGAATAAATAACTTGAAATTTGAATTAACGCATACATAAACCCTAATGGTCATTTACCATTAGGTAAACTTTAGTTTATAATAAAAGAAAAACACTTTCATTTAAAAAAGTTATTTACTTATGTATAAAGAAAAAGTTGAACAAATATTTTATAGGCTTATCTATTTACACTTTATCACAACAAAATACTGTTGTTAGGTACACATAACAAGATTCGGTGACATTATTTTTTTGTAAATAAGTACTTCTGAGAATAATATGCAAATGTCTCATAGTGACATATAGCGTCAGCTCAGCTCTTAACCTTGTAATTCATTGTTTGCGTGAATTGGACATTAAAGTCAGCGTTAATTAACATTATGCCCAAGTAGTCCTTACCAAAACCACCTATTTTAGCGATATTATCACAGGTCCTGACATGGTAGATGATATCTTGTTTGTCCAACCAAACATCGTAGGTCTACTCTGTACATGCGCGTGATAATTCAAAAAATGGTCTAGCAACAGCCTCTCTGCTTTACATCATTTACTAGCTGAAGATTACGCGCATCAATTGTCTTTCGTCTTTAGAAAGTATCATTCAGTAAAAGATTTTGGTTTACATTGGGATACTCAATACTGACATGCCTTACTATACAAATGTCACTGTCACTCCTAAAACTTTCATAATTTTTATAATTTATTTAAATTTTTAGTTTATTTATCATTTGTTTTTATTTGTTTGAACAAAAATATTATCTTGTGATTATTAAATGCATGTGTTATTATTGAACTAATTAGTTAATATCAAGTTCCATACTATATCTCCTTTTTTCAAGTAGGAGCGCGATGTCTTATCAAACCTTTTTTCAAACGTAATACCACTACGCTTGAAGTTACGATATTGTCCCTTTTATATTCGTTTGAGTTTTTTTTTTATTATCATCAAAAGTGAAAACAAGACAATTGGCATTGTACATAAAATATTATTATGCAGCTAATAGTCAAAATTTTATTTCGATGTTATATATTATTATATATGCTATTTACACAATAAGTTTAAGGGTTTATATAAGTACAAAAAAATTGCTTGTAAATTGAATTTTGCTTAGGTTTAAGATACATTTTATAGATGGAATTATCTAAATATATAAATTTTAATAATTAATTAAAAATTAAATTCTAATCTTTAATATTTATTTAAATTGAATTTTAGAGACAAGTCTTACAAAAGTAATAGCGGACTCAGCAATGGATTTTAACAGAATAGAAGTAATAAAACCCAGGTAAAACAAAAATTATCTTTGATAAAAAAAATGTATATGCATATTTGATTATTAATTGTATGAATAAATTCTAAAATCGTTATTAAATATTTAAATCACATTAATATTTTATAGAAACAAATACTGTTATGTAAATTCAAAGTCTAGATTGAGAATAAAATTTTCTTTTAGAAGTTAATCATTCTTTCCACTATATATATACATCTTTTATTAAATGTTTTGAAAATTACTCCAAATAAAAAAAGTATTCTGTACATCTACCAAGCTATATATTCATCAATTTCATAATTCGATTGTATATTAAATGTTTCAACATTTTTTTTTTTATAATATTTTCTTATGGAACAATTTTGTCGCTGTCGCTATTCGTAAAACAGTAAACCTTTAACGACTGCAAGGAAAAAACTTTGGAGGAGGTTTGGATAGAAAAGAGGCAAAGCACTTTCATGAATGTCAGATGAACGAAATATTTCCTCTCGTACACCTGACGTGCCTGTTATTAAAAACCATAAATTTAGTACATTTCAACGAGCACTCTGTCTGTCCGCATTTAATGGCAATCTTTTGTTACACATACGGTTCTTAAATAAAACAAGACTTCTTTTATAATGCATAGCAATATGCACGCATGAATTACGAAGAAGAGATAACGTGTGTATTTCTCTAATTTAACTTCTCTTAAACTATACCATAACTAATGATATAAATTTTCAGAAAATTTTAAAATGTTAAACTTTATTTCTTTTTTAATATATATTATATATTTTTAAATATAAATTTTTGAAAAATGTATAGATCATAAGATTTTATTTAAGTATTTGATACACATAGTTAGATAATATTGAATAAAATTTTTGTTTTAATTAAACAAATCATTTTTACATAAATCTTTCAACAAAAATATATTTTAGCTTCGATGCGAAGCTGAGAAGGTATTGGTTTTACTATGATGTGTTTTTTTTTTTTTTTTTTTTTTTTTTT